TCTGCTTACTTTTTATACTAATTTTTTCAATTTCTCAGAGTTGTTTGTTCAGAGTGGCATACTCTGAAAATCCAGTCAGTTTACGTAAAATGAGTATTGTTTTGTTAGTGCAACTGTGTTTTCTTAATTTAATAAATTAAAAACTAGAAAGATTATATTGAAATAAAGCAGAATCTCTAGCATGCCTTCTTTACAGGTAGTTCTCGACCTATGTCCACAATTGAGCCCAAATCTCTGTTACGAAGTGAGACATTTGTTAAGTGGGTTTGCTCCATTTTATGACTTTTCTTGCCAGAGTTGGTAAGTGAATCACTGCAGGTGTTAATTACTAACATGGTTGTTAAGTGAATCTGGCTCCCCTATTGACTTTGTTCATCAGAAGACTGCAAAAGTGGGATACATGACCCCAGGAAACTGCAACCGTCACAAATATGAGTCAGTTGCCAAGTGTCTGAATTTTGATCACTTGACATGCTAAAACAGTCGTAAGCGTGAAAAACAGTCATAAGTCACTTTTTTAGTGCTGGTATAAATTTTGAACAGTCACTAAATGAACTGTTATAAATTGAGGACTGCCTATATTTCTATGAATAACGAAATGCTTTTTTGTTCGTTCAGACTTACCAGTTAGCTCATGTTGTGGCAAAAGTAAATTGGAAGCAGAGTATCAGTAACATTGGACACACACATAATGCAACCAATAATGTAGTATGGTTTGGGGGAGAGGGTATTACGAGGTACATTTTTAATGTAATTGATAACAATCAAAATATTGTATGACAGTGTTATAGAACAACTATACAGAATTAAATTAATTTACATAAGGAAGAGAATATTTGTAACTCAAAATTGAACTATGGGTGCTCTATGGACTTGGTGGTTTTATTGCAGACATTTCATTAACAAACTAGGTAACCTCATCAGTTCACAGACTATAGGTGTTACAGTTGTTACTTATCTTGAAATAAAACTCAGGGTGGAGAAAACATTTTTCAGTAACAGGGAATCACTTTGATATGACCCACAGTTTCTGGGAAGAAGTTTTAGGGAACAGTTATTACTTTTCTGGAAAAATACATTGATCTCTGGAACGATGCTAGCTTGTTGCTAAAAAGAATGAAAATTTTTTTAATCAGAAGGACTAATGGTGTGCAAACCATTAGTACCCAATGGTTTAGCTGTTCAGCTATGTATCTTCTACTAAAAATGAACTCTGTAGTATGAGCATAGTCCTTCCCGTTGAATGGAATGTTTGAGCAAATATACTTCTCTTCAAAGCTGATAGTATTGTAAAATTGTTACAACTGCAGGGTGTCAAATTGATAGAACTTCAGGGTGAAGTGGGTTGTTATGTAGTTATGTAGAAAATACCATAAAAAAACAAAAGCTTGTTGTTAAACTAATAGTTAAAGCACTAAGTGGATCAAAAGAAAATGGTTTTAAAATTGAAGAAATACCAATAAATACTACTGTGTTAGATAAAAATTCCAAGGACCTGCAAACTCTAGTAATAAAAGTCGATTTTCTGTATTGACAAGAAAATTACATGAACATGTCAAGCTCTATTCAAAGGATATTTTATTTTTACCAATTATATGTCTTTATGCAGAAGGGTAGCCATGTTCATCTTTTGCAGCATAAACAAGATGTGTTTGGCATCTTAACAATTGATATATTTGCATAAACTTTCTATAATTCAAAAAATATATTCATTGATAAATGAATTAGTTTTTTGGGTGATACAGGATTGTTCTTCCTGTTCTTCAGGGAGGTAACATACAGTTAATTTTATCTCATTCTTCATCTGAATGATTTAATTTTGAAACAATTATTTTGGTGACCTTTGCTGTGGTTATTAAAGCAAAGAATTGTAGAAATTAATATAGGTTTTTTTATTAGTTTTGGATTACAGACTTTAAAGCATTCCATAGTTATTCTAGGATGAAAGTTGAAGCATTCCTCTGTTCTCCAAAGAAATTAAATTATATTGATTTTTGTTGACTAGTTTTTGTAATTATTTCTTCTTAGATTTGGATATAATAAATCAGTATAGATGGTGGCAGGCAGAAGGATTAGAATTAGTCAGAGGGATTAGCCAGTCCTCTGGGAATCTTCAATAGCTATTCTTTTGTTTGTAACAGATATCTTTAGGTTGTGTTTATAAGGGCTGAAGCTAGCAGGTGGACTAAATACTGTTTAGAACACTTTTACTATTTTTCCAGATGGAGAAAAGAATGGCCAAAAGTTTATTTACTTATTTATTAGATTTGTATCCCTCCTTTATTACTTTATAAACATCTCAAGGCAGCAAACATATTCCTTCCTCTTCCTATTTCCCCCTCACAACAACTACTCTGTAAGGTGAGTTAGGCTGAGAGAGAATGACTGGTCCAAAGACATTCAGCCGGCTTTCAGGTCTAAGGTGAGACTAGAACTTAGTCTCCTGGTTTCTAGGCCAGCACCTTAGCCATTAGGCCAATTGATTTGAAAGAGCAGGGGGAAAAAGTGGTGGAATTTAAACTAGGGAGCTGACAGATATATAGGATTTGAATCTTGTGTTTGGTAGCAGGTAGATTGTTGTTAAATTTAATCACTGTTTAGTTAAGTTAGCCTTCTCCAAAAGATGCTTTGCTTTATTTTCCCTTTTGTGTTTCTAGCCTAGAGAGAGAAAAATAATCTGTTCCTGAAAAGTAAACATCTTGGTCACACTTTGTTTGGCTGTTTTATGCTCCCAATGTAGCTTCATTTCACCAGTCAATCTGCTACACAGATTTTCCTGTCCAATTTTGCTTGCTCAGCAAGCAAAAATAAATGTATTCCTGTCCTCTGGGGATCCTCTCTCAGACTCTGTTTTTCCCTGCTTTCATCCTGTGACTTCAGTCACCCAGATTCTTGATACTGTAAAACACCTCCAGTGCACGAGGACACCCAAAGCACAACAACCACAATTCCTTTGCCTGATAAAACCACCCCATATAAACATCTTTACTAGAAGGCAGATATGCTTGCTCTCAGGTGTTTCAATTAACCCAAGACCCCAAGGCAGCCTTTCAGCTATCTATTTAATGCTTTTCATGCAGCTGACAAATAGACAACACTCTGTCCTTGAGGCAAACTACAAACTAGTCTTAATCAGCAAGAACTGCACAATGACTCTCCACAGAAGCACGTGAGAGGTGAAGTTTGTGTCATGACATTGTAGTATGTGTTGTATACCTCTCCACCTTTGTTAAGGATACCTATGGCTTGTTAGTTTGGGGAGGATAAGGATTTACTGCTGTGCCTGAGTGAAGACTGACAGTGATCTAAATTATTAACAGAGTGTTAATAACATTAACTAAAGTGTTAATAAGAACATTTTATACAGTATATACATAGCATTGTACTGTATGTATAATGAATGTGTGTATTATATATTCTGTGATATGTTCTATCAAATATATCAATTGTGCATAAAGTATGTGAATGCAAATAGGATGTATAATATGCCTTTGTTATATATTTGATTCCTGGAGAACCTGACCTGTTTAGATTAAATCATCTGTTTATTATATTAGTATATCAACTTCCTTTAAAGGGACTCTGTGCAATGTACTTAAGGTTATCCCAGTATACTCTGAGAACAGTCTTGGAAGTAGGTCAAGCTGAGTGATTATGTCTGGCACAGAGTCATTTAATGGACCAATAAGAGATCTGTACTCTGTCAGTATCATAGTGACTTCTGCACAATGTTTACAAGCTTCAATAAATTCACTGAAATTTAATTCATCATATTGATGTGACTGAGACAAAGTTAACACTTGAGATAGTCAATGTTCAGTAGTCTCTCTGATAGACAATTGATAGGTAATGTTTTGGGTTAATCACATGTTTGAAATTTAGAAAGCAAATTATACCACAAGTGGGTGATATAACAAAATGATGTCTTCGGACTGACTACAACTTCATGTTATCAAAACACATAGTTATCTAAGGCAAAGTTGCCTTCCGTTTCTATTACCCTGGGTATGGTACTATCTACCGATTATTATTTTTTAGCCTGCATGGTGACTACAAAGAGATGGGTTTCATTAGTCATTTATTTTCTAAGAATCCTATGAGGATAAAATAGGATTCAGATGCATCTGTAAAGTAGATGTCTGTAGCTTTTTGCAACTTGCCAGCTCTATTTATTTTTGTTCAGTTAAATAAGCTTGCTATATTTGGCAATCTGTGAATTATATTGATTTAATAAAAATCTTTTTAAAATGCAGTCCAATGGGCAAGGTGCCCATGGAATTATTTTCTTTGCCTTGGGAATGAACTTATTTCAGCAGCAACTAAGATGAAAGTAAACTTTAGGAAGAGTTAGATCTTAAAGAGAAAGATTTTTTTTTAACTATTCGGGTTCAGAAAGTAGACTTGTACAGTGATATAAGAAATTTCTCTGAATTCATTTTGGATTAATTTGGAAACTACTTATTATTGTTTTGGTTGAATTGCTTCATTAAACCAAGGTTCAATTTCATTTGTCAAGTGTTGAAATCTAAGGAAAAGTGAATTAAAGGTCTATAGCTATGACTATAATGTGTGCCAAATGTGTTGAATTACAAACTGAACAAAGGAAATAGTTTTCATGTTATTCACTAAAACAGTGTATGTTTTCAAACACTTAGTTTCAACTAAATAAGTGTTCAGTTTTCCCAACTCATGTTATTATTCAGAGATATACAATTTTTGAATGATAAGTAAGAACTTCTTGTAAAGTATAGAAAAAAGGAAACTTCATAATATTGATTTAAGAAAGGACAGATCAATAGATCTAAACGCCAATTTTCTGCTCTTTCTACATCCATCCATCCATCCATCCATCCATCCATCCATCCATCCATCTATCTATCTATATATCTATATATCTATGTTTTTGTCTCCCAATAATATTGGTTCAGATGCAAAAAATAATTTCTACATATGTGAACTTCCACATATCTTCTTTTTATTTTATCTTTCCTGGTTTACAGAAAGCCAACTCCAACTGCCTTGGAATAATTTCACAAATGAATGTAATATTCCTGGAAATTTCATGTGCAGTAATGGACGCTGTATCCCAGGAGCCTGGCAATGTGATGGGCTGCCGGACTGCTTTGATGAAAGTGATGAGAAGGAATGCCGTGAGTATACTATACTTTGAATAGTGAAGCTTAAACCTACTGTATATAATTCAATGTATCTCAGTGATGATTGATAGGAAGAGAGACAAACAAGTTTTCCTATAGAAGGGTCCTAAAGTAACAAGACCTTCAATAAGGACTCTCCCAAATGTTACAGTATGGGCAGATTCAATTTGGAGCAGGCCTTAGAGATGGCCAGGATGGACTTTAAAGGTGATTGGCAACATTTTGAATTAAATTAGAAGCTGACTAGCATCAATGCAGTGTTACAAGGACAAACCTAGATGCAGCCATCACTCCACCCTGACTAGTAGATGCTGAACCAGTTTAAGCTTCCCAATGATTTCAAAGAGAGTGAATTGTGATAGCACAGTCATGAGGTAGGCGAAAGAGATGATCTCCAGGAAGGCTTCAATTGAAGCATAAGATGTAATTGTGCATAGACTACCTAGGCATGGTCTTACCGGTTGTCAAGCAAGTCCAGGAGAATCCCCAGACTGTTAACTACTTCTACATAGGTGGGGTCAACTCCTTCCATAACTATAGATGAACTAACTTTGGAATCAGAAAGCTGTTATTCCAAAAGCTAGAGTTCAGCCTAAGTCTGTTCCTTCCTATCCAGACCATAACAGCCTCCTGTTTATATCCAACCATCATTTAGTCCTCAACGTACAACTATTCGTTTAGTGACCAATTGAAGTTACAACGGCACTGAAAAAAGTTGCTTATGACTGTTTTTCACACTTATGACTGTTGCAGCATCCCCATGGTCATGTGGTAAAAATTTGCCTCTGTGTGTGTGTGTGTGCGTACACACACACACACACACACACACACACACACGAGTAAATACACAGAGAGGCAAATTTGTATATACATATCACACGAGAGGCTTTTTACTTCTATTTTCATATAACTTTGTTATTTACTGTATTGCATGATATTGCCGTCATGCAAATAGAGAATTAATGAAGTGTTCCAAACAGAATTTATGTTTTGTTTATGAATGACTCAGCAGAGGCTTGGCAGTGGTCACAAATTACATTCAGGATATTGTTTTGTCACTGAGAATAAAATGGAATCCAGTAAAATTCTGGTGGGAGAGAAAACACTGTAACTGCTGATAAAATCTTAAACAGTTGTAAAACCTCAGTTCATAAAACTGATTTCTTCAGTTGAATCAGCTTAAATCTTGGGATTGTTAACTGATGTTCATATGTTTTTTCTTTTCTTTCCAAGATGGATTAGATTATTGAAATATTTTAGCTAGGTCATTTTTATTTCACCCATGCAGAGATAATCATCCTGTTCTTTTTTCATCTTTCCTTATCTTTGCATAGTAACAATAGCAAAATTCATGAATAAATTTGAACAAGAGTAAAGGGAAAAAGAACCTTTGAGCAGGTGATTCATTTCCTGTGCTATCCTACATTGTCAGGGGAGGTAAAAGAAACAAAGGGAAAAAATAGAAGACTGCCGTTATAGTTTCTGGTTCAAGTTACTGTGACGGGCTGCAAACTGTATTTTTCTTTTTATATGAAATTTTTCTCCATGAATAAGAGTGACTTAATTTACCTTTGAAAACGGAATGAATGATAAGTACTGTAAAGATTTATAACAAGTGTAGGAAAAAATAAGTCCACGGTTAACATGGCACAAAAGAATGAATATAGTGAACTAAATAAAAGATCCCATATGCCCATAAAACTTATAAAATATGAATACTCCGTAGTCTCCAATTGGAAAAGAACATGTCACATCTGTGTACCACAAATAAGAAAGCCTAGTTTTGTATAAGGTTATTCATATTTCTTTCTTTCTCTCTCCTCCTCCTCCTCCTCCCTCCCTCCCTCCCTCTCTCCCCCTCCCCCCTCTTTCTCTCCCCTCTTTCTCTCACACACACAAACACACACACACACACAGAGTGATCAGGTCCAGGTCCATAAAAACTATTTCAGAAATATCACCTGGGCATCACAGTTATGTTCCCTATCCTGTAATCATAATTGACACCAATTACTCTTAACGTTGCACTGTAAAAATAGATTTGTTATATTCAGTATAATCACTTCCATTCAGTCAGTTTCACTATCTTACTTATAATTTAGACTCTAGAGCTTTGCATCTTATTCTGAAAGAAAAAATGGAATCAGGGACTTATTCATTCTGAAGATGAAACTTTAGGAAAAAACATGAATCCTGAGCAAAAAAAATTTTTCTCTAATTTAATTAGGCCAGGATATATCCCGAACACATATGGTAACTCAAAACCTTTAGGCACCCAATTTTATATTGATGAATAAAGTGGACTGGTCATAAGAAGAGGTTTGTTTGAAGTGTGACTGCTGATGTTATCCAGTTGGGTAGTGAAACATCTGCAAACAAATGACCAGGCAAGTTTAGAGAGAACCAAGAACTCCAGAGTTTAACCCTGTTTAACCCTGAACCACATATATTCTCTTCCTTTGGATATTTTTCTATGCATCTGTTTTACAAAATAATATTGGCATACAGCAACACTTAATTGTCAGTTCTCCCAGGCAAACCAGACAGAAAATGCAACGTTCCTTTGAAGCCTACATTAGCATAATCTTGCAAATCTGAAGGTATAAATCTGCTGCCACCACTTGCCTGATCAATTTGGGCTGGTTCTTTTTAAGTTTCTTCCTGTGACTGTTAAGCCACTAGGGTCTCCTCCTCTTCCTATCTAATTATTTCCTAAGCAGCATCTCTTCTTGCTCCTCAAGGTCATTCTCACATAACATTACCTTAATTGTATAAAATATCAAGCATATAGTATGCAAACTCCTTTTTGTTTCTTACTTTCTTAAGAAAGTCTAATTTTAAAAGTAGCTTATATGACTGTATAAACTTTTAAATCTCCACCTGCTGTGAGTCAAGTGACATACAAGTCATTTAAATAAATAAATACATACATACATAAATGTACAGTTTCTGTGCCCCATTCTTGCACTAAATATTTTAACGTGACTTTAAACAATACAGACTACAGCATTATTTTCAATTCACTCATGAGAATTGAAATCCTGAGTAAATTTAAACTTTTGTTTGTATTCTAACCTATCTGTTAAACATGTTGATAAGTGTTGAAGTCTTATAAAAGGTTTTAACAGCATCCTGGAAAAAGGATTCCTAAATAAATCAGGTTTAAATTTCATTAGTAGTTATTCTTTTTTAATGTATTCTGTACATTACAGGTGAAACTCGAAAAATTAGAATATCGTGCAAAAGTTCATTTATTTCAGTAATGCAACTTAAAAGGTGAACCTGATATATGAGATAGACTCGTTACATACAAAGCAAGATAGTTCAAGCTGTGATTTGTCATAATTGAGATGATTATGGCTTACAGCTCATGAAAACCCCAAATACACAATCTCAGAAAATTAGAATATTACATGCAATCAATAAAACAAGGATTGTACATAGAACAATATCGGGCCTCTGAAAAGCATAAACATGCATATGTACCCAGTACTTGGTATGGGCCCTTTTTGCAGCAATTACTGCCTCAATGCGGCATGCCATGGAAGCTATCACCTGTGGCACTGCTGAGATGGTATGGAAGACCAGGATGCTTCAATAGCAGCCTTCAGCTCCTCTGCATTGTTCGGTCTCATGTCTCTCATCTTTCTCTTGGCAATGCCCCATAGATTCTCTATGGGGTTCAGGTCAGGCAAGTTTGCTGGTCAATCAAGCACAGTAATCCCACGGTCATTGAACCAGGTTTTGGTGCTTTTGGCAGTGTGGGCAGGTGCCAAGTCCTGCTGGAAAATGAAGTCAGCATCCCCATAAAGCTCGTCTGCGGAAGGAAGCATGAAGTGCTCCAAAATCTCCTGGTAGACAGCTGCATTGACCCTGGACTTAATGAAACACAGTGGACCAACACCAGCAGATGACATGGCTCCCCAAATCAACACAGACTGTGGAAACTTCACACTGGACTTCAAGCATCTTGCAGTGTGTGCCTCTCCATTCTTCCTCCAGACTCTGGGTCCTTGGTTTCCAAATGAGATGCAAAAGTTGCTCTCATCAGAAAAGAGGACTTTGGACCACTGAGCAACAGACTAGGTCTGTTTTTCTTTAGCCCATGTAAGACGCTTCTGATGTTGTTTGTTGTTCAGGAGCAGCTTGACAAGAGGAATACGACATTTGAAGCCCATGTCCAGGATCCATCTGTGTGTGGTGGCTCTTGATGCACTGACTCCAGCCTCAGTCCACTCCTTGTGAAAGTCCCCAACACTTTTGAATGGCCTTTTCCTGACAATCGTCTCCAGGCTGCGGTCATCCCTGCTGCTTGCGCACCTTTTTCTTCCACACTTTTCCCTTCCACATAACTTTCTATTAATGTGCTTTGATACAGCACTTTGGGAACATCCAACTTCTTTTGCAATTACCTTTTGAGGCTTTCCCTCCTTATGGAGGGTGTCAGTGATGGTTTTCTGCACAACTTGTCAGGTCAGCAGTCTTTCCCATGATTGTGATTCCTACTGAACCAGATTGAGAGACCATTTAAAGGCTCAGGAACCCTTTGCAGGTGTTATGGCTTAATTAGCTGATGAGAGTGGGACACTTTGAGCCTAGAATATTGAACCTGTTCACAATATTCTAATTTTCTGAGATTGTGGATTTCGGGTTTTCATGAGCTGTAAGCCATAATCATCTCAATTATGCCACATCATGGCTTGAACTATCTTGCTTTGCATGTAATGAGTCTATCTCATATATTAGTTTCACCTTTTAAGTTGCATTACTGAAATAAATGAACTTTTACATGATATTCTAATTTTTCGAGTTTCACCTGTATGTTTTGAGAAATATCCAAATGGTAACCATAAACTAATGTACATGTTCTTCAAATATTTAGAGTAAATATTCATAATCATATTATTTTATTCAGGAAATGTCAGTCTATAAGGGTCCCCAGGGAGTCCTTGGTGCTCTCTGAGTTTGGTGGTTTTCTTGCAGATGTTTCATTA